TATTTTAAGCAGGTTGTGTATATCAGCGTGGGTGTACTGTATACAGACTCTTAATGCGGCTACACCAACACATATGTTTACAAACACCTGTATACCCCAGCAAGGTACACACGTCAAGGAGAGGCTAACCCATGACTTCAGTTGATGAGATATTAATTCCTTAGTAATATGTGTAGTTTATCTCGTAAGGAGTTAAAATTAAACCTGAACCTTTTCTTCGTTTGTGGTTTAATCAAGGTTTAATAGGTTTTTCTTCTTATATTTTAAAAGGTTTTGGATGTGGTGGTGGTGGTGTGATGGGAAGGGAAGGAGGGGAGGGACGGGAGAGGGTGGGTGTTGGGTGGGAGAGGAACGGAAGGGAGAGTGGGTGGAAGAGGGGTGTGAGAGGTGGGTGGGAGGGGGAGTTTTTATAACATTTAAAATACTTAAGTGTTCTTGTTAAAGCCTCTAAAGTTATACCATATAAGATGTATACCAAATTACAACCATATATAATGACTTAAATTATATAGTTGAATATATTCGTACATACTAGGTAAAAAATACATAACATATACATAGTAACACATACAGTCTAGTAATACATAGGGTACAGTAGAAAATAGAAGACAATAACATGTACTATTTAGTTACACATAGAAGTACATAATTTAAACACAAGAGCCGACAGTACAGGTAAAAAATATTATGTAGTTTTAGTAAATAATTTTGCCAACAGTGGATCAGTATTTAGTAATATGTGACGTCAGATCTTTTAACACAACCCTGATATATTAGTTTTATTTACAGGAGTTTCATTATTGGTGTCTTTCTCCGGGTTAATTTCCTTCCCTAGTCTTCCCCTAATACCCGAAGGTACCTTAAATCTTCCCTAGATCTTTCCCCTGCCACCCTTTACCCTAAAACACCATCCTCAGTCTTCCCCCAGATCCTCTCAGTCACCCTTAGGTCTTCCCCATGCCTCCTCCAGCAGCCCCCCCTTCCCCCACCCGAGTGACCTTTAATATTGGTGGGTACTTCCTCTCCCACAACCAAGAGTAAATAAACCGACGCCACCTGTGTACAACAACCTAGGAGAGAGAGAGAGAGAGAGAGAGAGAGAGAGAGAGAGAGAGAGAGAGCGAGAGAGGTGAGACGAGTTAATTAGCGGTCAAAAGGTACACTAATGCATTCATAGGAACATTAGCATATGTGGTGGTTACTATGATTATCTTTATCTATATTATTATTATTATTATTATTATTATTATTATTATTATTATTATTATTATTATTTTTATTAGTATTAGTTCTATTTTTTTGACGAAGTTTTAGATGTCTGTCTCTCTGTTTGACTGTTAGCTCATTACTGTCCACAATTCTACACCAACCTTGACTAAAGTTCAACAACTCAGTGCCTCAGACAATGGCTCACTACCACACAAATTTGGTCAACTTCCATCAAAGAGCAAGGTCATAGGTCACTGATACAGGTCACCCCCACGTCACAGGTCACTGATACAAGTCACCCCCCACGTCATAGGTCACTGATAAGTCACCCCCACGTCACAGGTCACTATACAGGTCACCCCCACGTCACAGGTCACTGATACAGGTCAACCCCACGTCACAGGTCACTGATACAAGTCACCCCCACGTCACAGGTCACTGATACAAGTCACCCCCACGTCACAGGTCACTTATAAAAGCCCTCCAACGTCACAGGTCACCGATAAAGGTCACCCCACGTCACAGGTCACAGATAAATGTCACCCAAAGATAGAAAATACACAAAAAAATATCAACCAATTGGCAAGAAGCGAAACTTTTTACTCAGGCAAGAGAGTTGACTGAGAGTTAAAATTAACCTATAAGAAATATTAAACTTCGGGGGACATACAGTATAGAGATAAGAGTCTCCAGGAAGAGTTTATTAATCCTCTTCATTTTGGGGGTGGGGGGTGGGGAGGGCTTAAGGACTTGAAGGAGTTGGCTAAAGTTTAAGTAGAATTAAATGTGAATCATTAAAGGTTTGGCTTGGACGATAAGGTGTTGACAGAGAGGATGAAGAGGAGGAGAAGATATTGTCGAGGAAGAGGTAGATGGTGTTTGGCAGGGGAGGGTGGGGAGGGAAGATAGGGGCAGGGTAGAGTGTGGGGGAGGGGAGTAGAGGAGGGTGGAATGTTGGCAGGGGAGGAGTGGGGTGGGGAGATGGTGTTGGCAGGGTAGGGGAGGAGGGTGGGGGAGGGAAGATGGTGTTGGCAGGGAGTAGAGGGGGGGTGGGGTAGATGGTGTTGGCAGGGGTGGGGGGAGGGTGGGGGAGGAAGATGGTGTTGGCAGGGTAGAGTGGGGGTGGGGAGATAATGTTGGCAGGGGAGTGGGGGAGGGGGAGATAATGTTGGCAGGGTAGAGGTTGGAGGAGGGGAGATAATGTTGGCAGGGTAGAGTGGGGGAGGAGAGGGAGGAAGATTGTATTGACAGAGTAGGGGGGGGGCGGAGGGGGTGGGGGGGGTAATGTTGG